GTATTAGCACTATTAATTGTTATGTTATGTTATGTGTTTTTGGGTGTTGTCTTTTTTTTTTTTTTTGGGGCAGATTGCTGAGATATGTTGGTTATTTATAATAGTAGTAGAATCTGCATTTGATTTGTTGTCTCTGCTGTTAATTTATGCTTTAAAGTCAGGCTTAAATATGTAAAACTTTTAATGAGATTAATCAAAACCCTCTGTAGAGCTGGTGCTACATACGCCAATATCTCTGTGGTAACGACACTTTTTGTAAAGTTGAAAAACTATGCAATTACCCCAAATATTATATTCCTCCATTAATAATGCATATTAAATATTATTTTCAGTCTCAAACTAGGCTCCGCTAACGGCAGCTATCTTCTCAATTGATCCAGTAATTCATAATCATAGTACAGCCTGACTGAGCTTTGTGCGGCTGCATTGATCTGTGTGAATGATTCCCATGAGCACCAGGGGCATTTAATTAGGTGACATCACTCCAGGCACTCAGTTCCCTCTGTCATATGAAAACTCTTTATCATCCAGCAATTTATTGAGACATTTTACACATGGTGATTTACGCTGATGCTGTTTTTAACTAAGGTTGGCATTTCTGCTTCTTGAGAGCCAATAAACACATCCACAGCCCTGAGGTTGAATAAGACATCCTGTTAGCATCCACAGTTTTATTAAGAGTAGCTGTAAACAACAACCGAGAGAAACAATACGCACTAACCAGAAAAAAAAACAAAGCTGAGGAACTGAAGGATTTGCATTTAGTCCTGTTAGTTTTCAATTATCCAGCTCTTCGGTAAACAAGGCCAAGCTGAATAAACAGGCTAAATGAACATGACGTACGACAGCGCAGCAGGAACAGGTTTCCATTCTCAGCTCAACGTGATGGCAATAAACACACAGTTCCCTGCGGGTTTGTCATCAGTTGACTGAATCGTCATGGTTAGGAAACATCTGTGGCCAAAAACACAATTCTCCACATACCCACTAAACCCCTGTCTAGCTCAACGTGAGCCGCGCGGACGAGCCTGTCGCTTCAGTATGATGAACAGCAGCGCTAATGCTAGCAGAGCATCTGGCAGCTTCCTCATTTAGTTTGGTGGATGACTGTCCGAACTGAATTCATTTAACAAACAAAGCAGCTCTAGAATATACAGAGTTCGATGTTAAAGAAAGTCCATCAGTGATACTCAAACCCTGATTAGTTTTTTTTTAGCATCCAATCTGCTAGCAATTGAATAATTCGTCCATGACACACAAAAAATTAGTCTTACAGAGAGGACCTGAGGGAGAGCAGTTGCTCCTGAAGGGACTAACGACAGCTTCTGGCGCTTACTTTTATCATTTCAGTTTCACTGGACGTGTGTATGAGAGTTTCCAGCTAATGATGAAACTCTAAATCTGGATCTACACAATGAGGTAACAGTGAAAAGGCAGAGGTTTACTTCACATTCTTATTATCCACCATGGCAGTAACGGCTGAATAGTCTCACCACAGGTCTATTCTTGATGAGCTAAAAGCTTTTTCTTCAATAATGCCTTCAGGCTGAAGGAGAAAAGGAACTAACAGTACACGAGCTGCATCTGTCAGTAATGAACGGTCAGAAGTTGACTGGATCTGACTGCTCTTTCTAGTGTGATGGACGGCTTTATAACAATCCATTCAAACTGACCAGAAAAAAGTGAGTGTTAGCTTTGAGATTAAGGTCTTTCCAAAGGCCAGATGCCAAATTTCTGTCTTTTTTTTGTTGTTGACAAAATTAACTGTTTATTCAATGTCAACAAAAAAAGAGGTGGCATTTGCTACTAATTGGCTAATTATTTTGGATTAATAAGGTTCACTATAATTATGAACGGAACATAATTATTGTATATTCAAATTAAATAAATATCTCAGGATTTGATTGTTAAATGTTATTATTCTGACATCAGAAGTTCAAATAAAACATAAACATTATTCTGGTGATGCTATTTTGAGATTGTTATGAAAGCATGTGGCATCATATGTTGTGAGAGTAACACATACATGTATATAGAAAGCTTACAGACAGTTGTTTTGGAACCTATAACAGTCTCAGCTGGGTGACAGATATCTCGAGTTGCATGTTAATACAAGGACTGAACAAGTCTTTGAGTCTTGCAACACTTTGCTTTCATACTGATCTGTCAGTCATGATGTAATCTTTTGAAATCCCATGAAGATGAAAATGTATTTGCACTGTCTGTCTAGGCTATAACCTTAAGTTTAAGATCCCCGTCTGTACTTTGACATTTAAGAAAACTGAGAATATTCATGCAGAAATAAAGCTTTTTTTTATTTAAAGTTATATTTTCAAAATGAAACAGAAATCGGCAATTAGTGGAACAAAAAATGTGTTCAGTTTTTTCAGAAACTGATAAAAATGCGTATGGCAACTTTTTATTACGTCATTTCATTTACATATATCCAGTGGTGGAAAAAGTTTCAACATTTATTTTCAAATAAAATTACCATTACTTGCCAAATAATGTAGTTAAAGTATATTTTCGGAATAATAGTAGCTCCTCTAAAAGTGCTTGGGTAGTGAATATTATGCTGTGAAAATTATACCTCCTTATACTATGCAAATTAACAGTGTAGCTTACAGCCATTTTCTTTTAAGGGTGTAATTTTTAAGTGTAAGTTTATTTGTCATACATGCACTATACATTTAAAATGTGAGATCAAATAGAGCTGTGACAATATGTCACTGATTATTTTGTTGGCACTGCAAAACCAAGCCTGTGCAGGTGTTTGAAAACGTAACATTCCATAATGCATTTAGTTATTGTTTAAGACCATTCTGTGATTTCAGTCATCATACAATAGGCATCCTTTATCTTCTCATCCGTTATCTTCCCTATTGCCTCTTTTTGGACATTTTTAATTTTCCACACTACACGTTTGCTATATTTATAAAGCATTGATGTCTTGAAGTCAGTCAGTCTGATGTGATTTGTCTGTGTGATTTGATTGAACGGGAATCACGGCACTGATTGTTCTACTTAGCCAATCACTGTGGAAAACATAAAGTAGTGAAGCATAAAGTACTTATACAGCACTAAAAATGTACTCAAGTAAAAGTACACAAGTACACAGGAAAAACTACACTATTACATAAATGTGAGTATTTGTAATGCATTACACCAATACATCCAGTTGAAGTCAAAATTATTATCCCCCTTTGAATTTCTTTCTTTTGTTTTTTTTTTTTTACATATTTTCCAAATAATGTTTAACACAGCAAAGAAAATGTTTACAGTTTGTCTGATAATATCTTGCCTACTTACCCTAAACTGCTTAGTTAACCTAATTAACCCAGTTAAGCCTTTAAATGTCACTTTAAGCTGTATAGAAGTGTCTTGAAAAATATCTAGTCAAAAATTATTTACTGTCATCATGGCAAAATAAATCAGTTAATTAGAAATTTGTTATTAAAACTATTATCTTTAGAAATTTATTGAAAAAATCTCTTTATTAGGCAGAAATTGGGGAAAAAATAAACAAGGGGGGCAGGGTAATAATTTAGGGAGGCTAATAATTCTGACTTCATCTGTATATGTGCTGTTAGGAAATCAAGTAGTGTATGAATGCAGCTCAAACGTAAAGTGTTTTACCACATTTGAAAATACCACATTCACTAAACCTTACCCTAAAGTGAGCAAAACATGAAATAAAAATTCAAGCATGTCATTTTATGTTGTATTTACATGGTTTAAGGGTATTGTCTAATTGTTTCATGGGACTTAAGCACACAGTTCAACCAGGTGAAACTACTTTTAAAACTTTAAGCTACTTTAAACTTAAAACGGCTTTAAAACTTTGAGCTACTTTAAACTTAAAACTACTTTAAACACTTGAAGCTAGTTTAAACTTAAAACTACTTTTACAAATTTAAGCTACTTTAAATTTAAAACTGCTTTAAAACTTTAAGCTTCTTTAAACTTGAAACTACTTTAAACACTTGAAGCTACTTTAAACTTAAAACTACTTTAAACACTTGAAGCTTCTTTAAACTTGAAACTACTTTAAAACTTTAAGCTACTTAAAACTTAAAACTGCTTTAAAACTTTAAGCTTTTTTAAAACTTACAGCTACTTAAAAATACTTTTAAACTTTAAGCTTTACGAACTTTTTAATCTAGTTCTGACTCCAACTGTATATCTGTAGTTTGGAAATCAAGTAGTATATGAATGCAGTTCAAAAGTATAGTGTTTTACCACATTTGAAAATACCTCATTCACTAAACCTTACCCTAAAGTGAGCAAATCATGCAATAAAAAATCCAAGCATGTCATTTTATGTTGTATTTGCAGTGTTTAAGGATATTGTCAAATTATTTTATTGGAGTTAAGCACAAAGAAACGCGTTTCATAAAAAGTTCAACCAGTTGAACTACTGAGCAAGTTTACTACAAAAGAAAATAAACACAGAGAAAGATGTTTGATGTAAGTGATTAGAAGTATTATTTTACAAATTACATAGTATGGTAGTACTGTACAAAGGAGTGTGCGGAAGTGTGTCTTCATTAATCAGCTCTATAATCTGAATTATAATCAAAATGTATAATATAGTTGGTTGTATAAGCACTCTTACAATGAGTCTGAATAGATTCATTTAATAATACGCAGACTTAATTAATGAATTCTGACCATAGCTACATTTACAAAGATGGGTTTCATTTTAACAATTTGTGATTGTGTGTGTGAGTGTGCTGAATAATCCAGACTTGCTCTCAGTGGGCTTTTATACTCTGAGAGTTTTCCCTCACCGCTGTCACTTTGTACTTGCTCAGTGGTAGGTCAAAGACCTCCTGAAATAACCTGACAGTTAGTGGGACAATAAAAAGCAGCACACAAATAAAGCTGAATTAGACTCTGCAGGGGTGTGAAGGACATTAAATGGATCTCTAGTGCAGGTTTCAGGCTCTCTGAATGACTCTGCATGTTTCCAGAGGCTCCGTGTAACAAACACAACTCACCTCGCCAGGTTGAAGACGTCATCAATCAGACCGGCCCTGTTGCCCACAGAGATGATCTGCCACAAGAGAACAGCACACACATTTATAATGCAGCGGAAAGCAGGCGGATAGATGAGAGATGAGGAGGAAAAGAGGAATCATGACTGAAGGGGAAACATGATTTGAAGCAGAAAGGAAAGATGACAAAGTGACAAAAACTTGCTTTCCAATGATTCATTCGGGATTAAACAAACAAACACAAAAAAAAAACTACTGCAAAATTATGATGTTTCCATTTGCCATTGCCATGCAGCTAAATCATTGCTTTCTCTTCTAGTGAGAAGTCATTTTAAGAATTATAACGACAGATGTAGTTAGGATCATTTATATTGCTGCCATATATTTAATCAAAGCCCCCATGAAAGAAATACTAGGGTAATTTATATTAAATACTATTGTGTTTTCGAACTATACTATAGTGAAGTATATTATACTGTAAATATTGTAGTATCTACATATCTTTGCCAATGAATGCAACTGAATAATGTAGTATTAACTAAAGTGATCTAATAAATTATAATCAATACTGTAGTTTTACTTCAATACATTTTTTAGACACAAAGATTCTCACAGAAATCAGTCAAGTTTAGTGAAGGTACAATCAGTATGGAGGCGTGTGAGAGATCTGCAGAGTGGATGGCAACATCAACAGCCTAAGATATCAAGACATTTGTGCTGCCCATTACATTACAAACCACAGGAGAGGGAAAATTCTTTAGCAGGATAGCGCTCCTTCTCACACTTCAGCTTCCACTTCGAAGTTCCTGAAAGCAAAGAGGTCAAGGTGCTCCAGGATTGGCCAGTCCAGTAACCAAACATGAACATTATTGAGCGTAAGATGAAGGAGGAGATAAACCCAAAGAATCTAGATGAACTCTGGGAGTCCTGCAAGAACGCCATTCCAGATGACTTTATTAATTAAGTTATTTGAGTCATTTCAGAGATGCATAGATGCAGTCGTCCAAGCTCATGGGAGTCATACACAATAATAATTCTTTTTCCACTGCACCATGACTTTTCATTCTATACTGTACTTTTTTTGTTAAATGACAAGACTTTTGTCTAAGCAAAGTCAGACCTTACTGTCCTAATTAAATAATTAAAAATTAAGGCATGATCATATTTTATTTTGGTTAAATAAGCGTAATCTAGAGGCCTTTGCCTTTCATATAAGCCACTTCTGATACGAAATGATCAACTTGAAGTCAACTTATTAATTTTTGTTCCTAAAACTTGGATAGGCGACAAGACTTTTGTCAGGTAGTGTATTAATTAATATACTGTAGTTGTTGTGTTACCATAGCAAGCATAGAATTATCATAGAAGATTAATTCAGGAATTTTACCATAATATTGTTTAAAAACACATCAGTATTTACTACACTTTACTATGGTATTTTTTCATGTGGGAAGTGACATAGTCATTTTACCCAAACATTGATTGCAAGGAAAGTCCCTTATACCTGGCAGTATCCAAATATTAGATGCTTCTGGTACATTATAATTTAATTTTCCAGATGAACAGATCAAGTTTTTTTGAGTTGCGTAATGCAATGGATCCAAGAGAAGCAGTTTCTTCAAATAAACGCATCATAAAGTCTGATCATGTGACTTTACATGTTGGATTTTTAAATGTGAAAAACTGTGATTACAGTTTTGTGAAATATAACTATTATAAAATGGCTTGAACCACCTTGTCCATAATTTGGGAGTTTTAGCATAAGTCCATTAAGTTTATTTTAGTCAACTTGTTTCAGTTTGCACAGCTTGAAGCGTAATGGAAACACACATACAGATGGATGAAAGGGATTGCAAGTCCTTTACCGTCGGGTTTCTCGTCAGCTGTTGAATAAGAAGTTTCCAGTTGTGAAGGTCGTAGTTCACTCTAAAGTAGCCCGTCTGGTTGATGTTGCCCAGCAACCACGTCTCACCAACCACGTGACCCACTCTGTGCGCCTCTGTAAATACATGAGCATGAAAAGAAAATCACTGTGCAGTAGCTACACACATGCACATGATTTGAGCAAAACAGAAAAAAAAAATTTGTAACACTTGTCACGTCTAGTGTATTGTGCCGTGTTCCATGTGTGTGTGTTTATGTCATGTGACCCCTTTGTTTTGTTTTCCGCTGTGTGTTAATGATCATTAGTTCCACCTGTGTCACCCCTGTTTGTAATCTGTGTGTTTGTGTCCTGTGTATTTATACCACCTGTATTGTCCGAGATTGAAGTGTCAACCACCATGTAAGTCCTGTGTGCCAAGTTTCTGTTGTAAGTGCGATTATGTAAATAAATACATGTGTTTTTGATAATCTCTGAGTCTCGATCGTCTGTGGTGCGACACAGACTGTGACAACTTGAAGGGGTGTAAGATGGTGTGAGAGGTTTATGGGAACTCTCATTAAGTGTCAGTCATGCAGTTATACACATTTACACACACCTTTAAATGTATATGACATAACCAAAAACTGATAACATGTTTTTTCATGACATCTAGACATTTATCAACTTTATCAAGACAAGACAACATCACTTCTGTCATGAAGCCATTATAATAGTCTCATGAATTATATATCATTAATATATTTCTTGACCTTAACTAACTTGGTACAATATGAATCTGTCCTTAAAATATCATTCAATATTATTGGCACCATTAAAAAAAATGATTTGACAGAGTATTGACACTTAAAGAGAAAGTGTAGTGACAAATTGAGTTTGTTTCACAGAAATCAGTGATAAAGACTTACATGACACATTTACAATGGCCTCAAAATAATCCGATTTATGATGTTTTGTTGAGATCAAGTTGTTATGACAAAGAAACTGACAGTTGTGATGGATTTGGTTATGTCATAACAAAAACATATCAAACAATGTCAACTTTTCATTTAAAATGACATGATCGAGCGAATGACACTTAGGGCTCTATTTTGACGATCCATGCGCAGAGTGCATGGATGGAAAAATCCGATTTGCACCTTGGCGCATGGTCTTACAGGGTTGAGCTTATTCTCCTAATAAGTAATTTGTGTTTTGAGAATAAACCAATCAGATTCTCTTCTCCTATTTCCTTTAAGAGTTGCATCGCACCATAGTACATTTGCTATTTAGATGGCGGACTTTGAAAGTGTAAAAACTGAACGCTTTACTAGCCAGAAATTAGTTAAACAGAGCAGCTGGCGAGAATGAGAGATGAACCTTCTCATTATTTACTTTCACTTTAACTCTCCTGGATAGGGAAATGTGTTGTACGCACAAACATCTATTAGCCTATCCATAATTAATTTTGTTTATTAAGCACAAATATTTGTTTCAAAGCTATTTCTAAATTTATTTTTAATTTCCAGCAAACAAATAAATGAACATTAATAATTATTTATAGTTATATCAAAATACACATGCTATGCCCCATATGGTCTAAACCTGAGAAGTGGGCAAATCTTTTTAAGCTGTAAAACCTTTTTTTTTTAATCACACTAAAGTTGGGTTAATTACTTTCAACAAAATTTTAATTATACTTTTAAACCAATGGTCGGGTATGTCCATGTTTGACCCAACATTGGGTTACAACAACTCAGCATTTTTTAGAGTGCAGAGACAGATTTGCTTGTCTAACAGGCCAATCACACCATTGCACTTTCAGCTCTGAAAAAGCAAGGCACTTTTTTTCTTGCTAAGCAGTCATTGTATCATCAGTAATTGTGCTGGAGCATGTGACATTGGGCACTTTTTCCGCAAAGAGTTGACTTTTCAGCTGCAGGCGCACAGAACACTCCATCAAAAATGTGAAGAGCAGCATGTGATTAAAACGTGAGGTGCCTGGATGAATAAACAGTGTAACACTTACTGTCAATAGAAAACCATTTTAAAAAGGTTCCTCTCATTAAAAATATATTCTTTGTTATCAGGGCCTTAGGATGGCATCATTTTGTTCATTATTATACATTTTATCTATAATTCTGATCAAATGTATATAGGGCCAGACAGAATCTGACTTTGCTACTTCTACACATATTTTTTCTTATTTTTGAGAATTATCTATAGATTATGCAGAAGGATGTAGAGAGTATAGGAGCTAATAATAAATATAAAAATAAAAAATTAATTATAAAATTGTATTTAAGCATTATTATGCAAATCCAAATAGAATCGGTCGTTTAATAAAAATCAAAACAAATCAAAAACAGCAGTCTCGTATATATAATACATCTACAAAAACGGTAAATATTACTTTACAAATTGTATTTTTTGCATTTGCATATTAATTCATAATATTAGTGAAATTAATATAAAACATACAGAAACGTATAAGAAAATAAATAACACACATAAGAAAATAAATAGTAATTGATTGATTCAATAATTTGCTGACTTTTTTTTGCAAATTTCTGTTGGAATACATTTCTTGTGTGCCTAAATATAACTAACTAATGCTCACTTTGTCACATGGACTGACAGAGTTTGCCTGACTACACTTTCAAAGTGTAAAAAATTGTCATCACTAGTTATCATTACTCGAATGAACTCATAACAGCCGTTCTTTTCATAAATGGATTTTTTTCATGGATTTTTGGAGTGTATCGTGATCCCGAGCGCATCCGAGCAGATTGCAAGAGTCAGGCAGTGAGTTAATGCATATAAATGGGGTCTCTGCGTTCCAGACTCTGTTTCCTCCAAGAATCATTGTCTCTGCTTCACTCTGTGTCGTCTGCATTTAGCCCTGATGAGCCTCTTTTTCAGTAAAGGTGAGCAGAAAATGGAGGCTGTTAAATGCTCTCATAATCAGTGGACTCTCAGCTCTGAGCCGCTCGCAGAACAAATTCAATTCCTGCTCTTGGAATTTGACTCGCTGTGGCTCCATCCGGACAAAATCCACCTCATTCTCCCAAAGGAGAGGAAAGAAATCACATATAATTATGATGGATGTGGAGCTCATGCAAGAGTGTGTGAATCACTGGCAAAAAGCACCAAAATGTTTTCATAAAATGACATTTTACAGAAATTCATTTTTGGCAGTAAATTATTCAAATTTAATGAGGAAATCCAATTAAAGTTGTACTTTGTAATTATGATGTAATTTGCTGTCATGGCAGCAGTCATGGACTTTATAGGTCAAGGACTCTCAAAATTTTCTTTAGACTTAAATACACTTCTGCCATAAGCATTTTTTCCTTATTAATTAAAATTAATTTCTCTTTCGACGTTGTTCTTGGAAAGTCAAAAAAAAGTCAGGGGGATGCATCTGACCTAAGATTATAATGAATGAAAAGCCTTATTAAACTAATGATTATCTTGCCAAGGAATACTTGTGAAGTAGTTTGGCAGTTTTTATTACTATTTTTGAATGTATTTGTATTTGTTTTACTCATGAGAAGTAACTAACATGCAGTCAATCCGTCAGTCAATCAATTTATAAAACATACTATTGTGCATCATGGTCATTAAGTCTTAAATTTCTGTATCAAATAATCAAAAATCATCATGTTGTGAGAGACCCCTGCTAAAACTGTGTCGATTGTCAACAGTTTTAACATGAAATAAGTACTTTACAAATTGTGTGTGTTAAACATATTTACACAATAAATGAAATTGTGTGGGCAACACAGTGGCTCAGTGGTTAGCACTGTCTCACAATAAGAATGCCACTAGTTTCAGCCTCAGCTGGGCCATATGGAATTTCTGTGGAGTTTGCTTGTTCTCCCAGTGTTCGCATTGGTGCTCTGGTTTCCCCCACAGTTCAAAGACATGCATTATAGGTGAATTAACAAAATTGGCTGTAGTGTATGAGTGCGTGTTAATGAATGTGTGAGTGTATTGGTGTATCCCAGTACTGAGTTGTGGCTATAAAGGCATCCGCTGCCTAAAACATATGCCAGAATAGTTGAAAGTTTATTCCTCTGTGTTGACCTCTGGAATAGAGACCAAATAAATGAAATTGTGCAAATAATAATATAAATGGGGGTTTAGAGAGAGAAGAGTAGTTTCTACAGGTGGTTTTCCAAGCCCACTTCAATGTTTGCAGCACACTTATTTATTTATTTATTTATTTATTTATTTATTTATTTATTATTTAGATGTGGAGTCATCGTAAGAACATGTCTGGTGCAAATGAGCAAACCAAACTGGTGAGGGAAATGAAAGGTTTCTGAAAGTGGTTTGTCAAGCCCACTCACCTGTGTGAGGCATACTCAGATTTGCATTCAATTTTGAGGTTGTCGTGTGGTGTGGTGGGGGAGAGAAGAATGAGTCCTGGTTACACAGACAAAACATTCCAGTCCATGTAACGCCCCAAATATTTACAAAATTGTCTCTGTTAAGTATTTAGTATTAAGCAATTAGTTTAACTGTGCAGGGCATTTTTGTAACTCCTATATGAATTCATATGTATATTATATGAATTTCCTGAACTTTTTGAAATAAATGAATTAGTTAATTAATTAATTCATTGATTCTTTTAGTTAATTCAATTAGTTTGTTCATTAGTTAATAGCATTCTCGCCACAAACTCCCAGTATTTTAATGACTCTGAGTATTTTCTTTAGTGTTCGATAAATGCTATTACTTTTCATCTAGTGTTTACAGCACATGGCATATTCAGAGTCCTATTAAAAGTCATATCTTGACTGTGTTCATCAAACACATCATAATACATACCTGATTTATTTGTGACCCAAATGATGGTCTCCGTTGATATGTGACTGGCGTTTCCCACTGCGAGCGTTAGTGGTATTTGCCACTGGAAGCTGAAATAAAACAAAGATAGAAATACCAGATGAAACACTTCTGTCTGATCTCAGGGGTTTAAATGTCACATACTGTATGAAGCACATAATCTGACACATATGGACTCCCACCACTTAATGGGATTGTGGGATTTATTCATCCGATATCCTCAGTCTTGACACCGACGGGAAAAGTGACAAAATCAGAAACATCAGATGATTGTGAAGCTCAAAGAAAGCCCAGCAGTGTCAGAGCTCAAAGACATCATATCTCATTCTTTCCCAGACTGCACTGCTTTCTCTCTCTCTCTCTCTCTCTCTCTCTCTCTCTCTCTCTCTCTCTCTCTCTCTCTCTCTCTCTCTGTCACACACACACTTTCACTAGTCACCTGATCGCTGTCATGTTTTGTGTCGCCGCCTCATTCTGACGTGGAATCATCTGTGTATTTGTGCTTTCATGTGTTTGTGTGTGTGTGTGTATGAACATCTCCAGGTATGAGTGCACATCCAGTAAAAGCCTATCTGACAGCTGTCACGCTGGACGGCCGGCCCGCTTTCAGCCTGTCAAAATGGCAGACACACAGGTGGACAAGGCCTGCTTTCTGCCAGAATAAATCACCTCAGACCGCAGCAATAATGTAATACTGTAACATTGGGAGAGCTAATGTGATCCTAAACCTCTATGCAAAGTAGTTCAATTAGCATTTTCCACAAAAAAACCTTCCATTAGCTGAGATATTCTGATGGTTTCCACTATAAAAAACATTATAAACAATCACATTTTAACCAGTAAAAAGAGTCGATTTTGGGAAATGTTCCATTAGGTTGGATTTAACATGCAATAGAAGGCACATATTGCCAGTAGATACATGAAAGAAACATTATAATTTCCATTAAAGCCCATTATAAACATTAAAACAATAAAATAAAAATTATCAGCAGGGATTTTTCAGTGCCTCATAAGAAATGATAGCGCCAACCATCACTTGATGGTGTTTTTCTATTCATAATCATGAAAATATGGTAATAAGTGGCTTTTAAATTGCATATCTCGTTATATTTCTAAAGTTAAAATGAGTACAAACCAAATCCTTTTCTGTTTGCCTTGGGTTAGCAAGCTAACAGCTTATTGTGCTTAGCATAGTGATGATTGCTTATGAAAGCTCTATTCATTAGCTACTGTAGAACAAAACATCACTTTTATCTTGAGGCAACAAAACACCTTGCTTTTGACAACATCTAGTCGTTGCAAAAGCCTAGCATTGTGGCAGTGAACTTTACAAAGTCACGCACCACATTTCCTTCACAAAATGTCAAGATTTAGTCATCTGATATGAGAAGAGCAGCCTGGATTATTTCCTGACGTCGCTCTCGGATGTGTGGATCATTAGGGATTTGTGTTGGAAAAATCACAGGAATGGACAAAATCCTTTACAAGCTGCTGGTGACTCACCTCAAATCTCTCATTAAGATTATATTCATCATATAATGTCTGTTAATTATGTCTGAATAAACCCCTTTCAAATAATGAAAGCTGTAATAAAAGAATGAACTTTTAATTTAAGCTGTAAACGGCAAACACAGGAGATACAGGAACTGAAAGTTTACATCGCAGAGGAATCTATAGCTCAGTTGAAGAGACATTACGCATAAGATGAAGCAATATGAAGCCCTGCTGGGAAACAGTATTTAACCGCATATGTTTGTAAGGGGACTATAGAGAGAGATTGTGAAGGAGACGAGCGCTGATAACAACACTTCTGAATTCCAGTGATAATAGAAGCATCTGTGTGTGTTCAGATGACATACATTTACATAAAACCGTGTTCATCACGATTGAGCAAAATAAGAAAGCAGAAGAAAATTCAAGTTCTCCACAGGCTGGTAATTTGGTGGCTCGTGTTTATGTTCATTTATGGAAGCGTCTGTTATCATCAGCGTTATTTACATCCCTCAGGGGCTTCGTGTTCTGGCCCAGAGCTTTAGATAAAACACAAATGAAGGTTTCGTTCTCTGTAGCAGACGGATAAATGCGTGTCAGATGAGACATGTGGGCATCATATCATGTTTATGAAAAGATGCAACGTTTGTTATCTCCACTTGTAGATATTGTTCACTTGCTCTAAATAGAAAAGTTTATATAAATTATAAGTAAAACGACACAACAAGGATGAATGTATTATAAAGCAATAATCTCCAAAAAACCTGGTTTACACTGATTTTATAACAGCTAAAGTGCTTTGTTAGGGACGACAGATGATCTTACAAAATTAAACAAAGCCAATAAAACATATTTTTGGCTCGTTACTTATGTGTCTGTCTTTATGATTTTCCAACATGGCACAACCAATCAGAATGAAAGATCAGAACTATCCTTTTTATACCAGTGATTATACAACAGTCAAGAAAAAATTATGCATAATCTGAATGAAATGTAAAATGTAATAATTTGGACATTTTAAGAGGAGATGTGTAATGTTTCTCTATATAGTAATGGTAAAACATAGCGATTCTCAACCACTAGTAGGCCTCAGCAATCCTGAAAAAATAACTCTCAATATTATACTATAATTTTTGGATTTCATTATTAATATGCTATATTAAAATGATCAATGAAATTCACTTTCACCTGTTCTTACATTAATTACTTCAATCTCGGTGCTAAAACAGCCTCATCGTGTCTGCAACTACACGCAAGTCTGTTCATTCACAAACTATGCGTGAAGTGAAAGTGAAAGTCTCTTTTTGTGTATTTTTGTGTGAACTATTTAATATAGCAGCATAGTTGTCCAAATCAATGTCTTATTATTGTTTTATAACGGACGCACGCCCATGCAGGAGGATCTAGCAAGGCAATTGTGTTTCTGACATAGAATGTAAGATAAACTTTCAAATGAGCTTCAGATGCGCTCTGGCGGAGCTGTTCACATTTCCTGTCAGTGATCTCCCAATAATATGCAGCTGCAAACTCAACTGCCATCGAATTGATGTGTTTCAACAGATTTAGAGTGTTTTATTGTATTTTACATTTGTCTATATATTTATGAATAGTAGATATTTAATAATAAATGTTCAGTCAGTCTATTTTAAAGCAGATGCTGGTCTTTTGCAATGTCCCTGCTGACCTTTGGTTCTCTTTGAATCTGTGTGTGAGTGTGTGTTTTTTATGTAACATTATATATAATAGGGCTTAACATTAACACCCGCTTACCTGCCAAATGCGGGTAGATTTCATTTTTGGTGGGTTAGACAGTAACTCCCACTAAAGCCACTTTGGCTGGTTGAAAATAATTTTTAAATTGTGGTTTTCTTAAAAGCAGGGTTCGACTATAAGAATGACCCAATATGCGTGCAAATGGGATCTTAGAATCGTGAAACAACACAACTATCAAAAAAAAAAAAAAAAAAAAAACGCGTTCCCGCGAGCAGAAGAAAGCAGATGAATACCAAAATTATTTACCTGGAATTATTTATTTTTTTTTATATGGTTTAATTATAATTTTTTTTACAACAACATTGCTTTGATATGAGATTAACTCTCCATTTATGTGTAGTTAACTGGTGATCTGAGAGATCTTTAGCCAGGACAGATTACTGTGCATATATTTGATACATGACAATAATTATTTTTAAAATATTATTTTTAATAATTATTTTTTGTGTGGTCAGAGATAATTTTAGTAAATCCTTAATTTTGAGTTCTGAAAAGTCATGTGAAATAAGAACTAATTCCAGTATAACAACCATGACCCATTTGCTCATACACAACACACAAAACGTGAAATGAATGAGGAGACATGTGGACAAAACACAAAATCTAAATCAAGAAATTTTAGCATGTCAGAGTCATATTTATGCATATAAAAATATTTTCCCAACATCAAAATTGTGGCTAGTGGAAATGCAGAGTGGCTAGTAACGTTGGAAAACTACTAGCCACTGTGGCTGATGATGCTGAGTTAAAGTCACGCCCTGTATATATTTGTTAATAAAAACATGTTTATATGAGCATTTTAAACAAACATTTAAAAGAAAATTATTTAAGAGAGACTAGTGGGCCTTCAAAAATTGATCGAATAAAGAAGATGGGTTGAGAAGGTTGAGAACCCCTGGTGCAACAGATCACAAATCTCTTGAGTTTCGGATCAGACCATTTTTCGAATCAGCAAAAAAGGGAGGAGCTTCACACTGAATGCATTGCTGCATTCACAGAAAACAAGCAGTCACAGAAAACACATTTAATTAATAACCTAAGAAGGCACTTTGGCCCTACCACAACCATTTTCTTCAACATTATATTTTACTAGGAAGCCAAAATACTTTCATACACGTAATTTGAATGACGCGGGAGGCGATCTCTCTGCAATTGTTATAAATGTTGGATTAAGTTAAAAAAGTTATTAATCCGTGGGTCATATGCGTTGTGAACTGTGGGTAGTTATCTGTATGGATCCTTTATACCCCTGCTGTATATTCTTTGCTGCAACAATGTTCGAGTACTGTATGGTTGCTAAAGTGTTACAATGAGTTGCTAGGGTGTTCTTGGTGGTTGATTGCAAGCATTTTTTCCTAATATTAAAAATTCAGGCAATTTGCAATAATGACTGAGTTGGTGCAGTGCTTGAGCCTTGAACTGCATATGAGCACTGTAAAAGAGTAACAGCTGTGGTCTGTCTACATTTAAAATTCACTGTGATTAAGCAGCATCCACTGTTTTTCTGCGTCTCTCTCTTTGCTCATGGGTTGTGAGCTCTCAGTCTCTCTGTGCGGCTGTGATAATATCTCAGACTCTCTTTAGGGAGCGCTGGCTTTTGCAGTCTATAATGAGTCACTGGGGGCTTTTGTGGCTCAACATGTGTGATTCTGCAGATCCTCCAACACTTTAATCCAATACCGGCTGCACTGAAGAGAGGAAAAGATACAAGTGTCTTCCTTCGAAACCTTCCCTGGATGTTGGACGCAGTGCGGAGCTTGAGCGGTTGTGTTCATTTGTGTTGTGTAGACTCGTGTTAGAGTTTCAG